AATGTCATTTTCGGTGAAGTGCCTGTTCATATCCTGTGCCCATTTTTCTATTGGATTCTTTACCTTTATCTTGTTGTGGTGCTCAAGTATTTTAAAAAGGAAAAGGAAAAATGTATTTCACAGTGTCTTACTCTCTAAGGGTCTCTGGAATAGAGGAGATGTAGGTGTTCACAAAAAAAATCCAAACAACACGCCTCCCCCCCAAACACACACACACACACACACACACACACACACACACAATAAAACACCAACCCTTAAATATTTACAGAGAAACATTAGGTATAGAATGGCAGGTAAGCATGTGTACATGTGAGTGTAGACGTAAGTTGTATTCTAAACAACAAGTAGTCACGAGCCTGTTAGAATAAAAATTATTCAATCCAGGAAAGTAGCACATGCAATGAAACTTTACAAACAGCAAATAAAAGTCATTATCATTTAAGAAGATAAACAGTAAACCACAGGTATAGATTCGAAATGAACAGGTTTTCTTTGCTTCTATAAGTGTTCCCACATAATATCATAGGAGAGGAATCAACTTATGCTTAAAAGGGGTCTGTTCACCCTTCTAAAATTTTTGTCTCTTCACATATGTAACATCTTAACACTAACTGCATGCTTTCTCTCTCTTTCTCTCCCCATACACAATTATTGTTTGGATTTGTTCTTGTTCTCCTCTACAGCTTTTATTGGTTGCAATTGGCCCCTGAACTTACTGATCTAATACTAAAACTGGTCTAGGTTGGGGATAACTTGCAGGGCAAACATGAAGGCTAGGCCGGTATAATGACAAATTGTAAGATAAAATTGTTTAACAGGCAAACATGCCCAACATTCTGAAAACAGCACCCAGTTCCCTCAAACTAGTACTCTCAGCACTCCTGGGCCAGTTTTATCTTAGCGACCTTGGAATACACTTCTCACTCCCCTTTGGACTAGCCTTTCTGTAGGCCTGCGTTAGGAAACTTCCTTTAGGGCTCCTTCACACAGGTCTCCACCCCGGCCTCCTCACCTTTACAGGACACTCTGGTATGCTGGCTGCCTTTGCTCTGTGGGCTGACTTCCCATCATTGTCACCTTCCCTGTGAGCCAAATCTACCCACTTCTACCACTATAACTTGGCACCTATGCAGCTGAGCATCTTCTGGGCCACTCTCCCAGTGGTTTTTCTACATTTGTTTCATTTTGCTGGGTGGTATTTTTTTTTCTTTTTTCTTGGCTATCAGTGTTATCAGTTAAGCAAGTTCAATTGTTTCAGTGCTAAAATAATTTCACTCAGATAGAAGAAATTTTTTCATATTTTCATTGGTATTCATATAATTATTCATATACATTATGTTTCATTCATGTACATATTGGATTTTTTGTTTTGTTTTTATGTTTCACACTTTCCTTCATTGACATTATTTTTCATACAACCATTCCCGTATATTGAGTTTTATAAAATTAGTCAATATTGGAACATGTCCACCATTAACCCGTTTTTTTTCAGGTTCTTGCTGGATCTCTCCCTTTTCCTTTATCTCCTCGCCCCACACATCAGATTGTGCAATCCTGTGATTTCCCCTCTACCCATGCTCACTCCTCTGCTCCTACCCATTCCCCTATCCTTACTTGGATATACACATGCACATTTTACAAGTTATCCTCTTATTTTTACAAAATGGTCTTATGCAGTATTTGTCCTTATGAGACTGAGTTTGTTTACTCAGCATAATGCTCTCTAATCTCTCTCAAATTATGTAGTATTTTTCTGAAATTGTTGCTCCTAAGTGCTGCTTGGTATACCATTGTATGAATGATCACAATCTCTCAATCCGTTCAGGTGTGGTTGGATATGTGAGTTGTTTTCATGTTCTTGTGATGATGAATAATGCTGCTATGAACATTGTTGTAAAAACCTCCATTTGTGTCTCAGTACTAATTTCCTTGGAATACATTCCTAGCAGTGGAATAGCTGGGCCATATGAAGTTTCTGTGGTCAGCTTTTTGAAGAAACATTAAACTGCTTTCCAGGGTGGTTGCACCATTTTACAATCAAATCAACACTGCAGAAGAGTTTCAATCTTTCCAAATCTTCTCTAACATTTATTGTTTGTTGTTCTGTTAAACATTGAAATTGCTACTAGGGTGAGATGGTATCTCCTTGTAGTTTTGATTTCCATCTCTCCTATTGTCAGTGATTTTGAGCATTTCTTCATGTATTTGTTGGGCATCCAAATGTCTCAATCTTTGATAAGCCTTTCCATGTCTTTTGCCTATTTTGTAATTGGGTTATCACTTTTTCTTATGGAGGCCCATAGTGTTCTGTAAACTTTTGTTATGAGAACCTTGTCTGAGATGATACTGTCAAATGTTTTTTCCTACTCAGTAGAGTTTCTGTTCACCCTTTTGGAACGAGTTTTTGGTGCACACAGGGATTCAATCTTTAGAAGATACCATTAATCAATTTTATCCTTTCCTTATTGTGCATTTCTGGCTGAATTTGCCAGCCTTTTATATCATAGACTAAGCCTTCTAAGTTTGGTCCCATTTTGTCTTTTCTGATCTTTATGGTTTTAGCCTTTACTTTTACGTCTATGATCCACCATGGGTTGGGGGTTCTGGTGTGTTTGCTTGTTTTATTAAATATAATGTTTTTGAGTTTTCACTTAATTGGATACCGGGTGAGTTTTGCTGGACTCAGTGGAAATCCGATATATGCAGTTGATGCTGCAATGTAAGAATGTGGTGGGAAGATTGGTTTGTACTGAGCCTGATGAACGGTTGAGGACTGTATCAGACAGGGATTTGTACGCATTGGGATTTGGTGAACTATGCTACTGGGGTG